AAAGATTGTAAGAAATCCTTGCTTTTTAATAGTTTAAACTCCATAAACAAATAAAAAGGTATTCTCTTACAGTCTCAGACACTTAAATAATATCCCTTAACAATCTCCTAGATTCTTTCCTGTTATTTTCTAAAACTGTAATTTTTGTCTCCAGTGAAGGTAGTTTTTAGTGTTGTTCTACTGATAATCCTTATTTTGAAAACTTCTAGTATAGATGGAATTTCTTCTGACCTCTCTTTAAGTGTGGCTCTTCTGACTCATTAGGCCCCATTATGAACTACTTCTGGCTGGTTAAAGCACACTCGTGTTGTGTTGAAATGCCTCATCAAAATTTCTGGTACAGTGTGACCAATGCAACTCTTTTCTTTGTACAGCCCCTTAGGAAGGCATCAATGGTGACGGAGCACTTAAATTATTCAAAGGGTGTCTAGTTGCCCTTTAACTGTAAGCTCTTCAATTTTCTCACAAAAAATTCTTCTAATTGTTCATCTTTGTTCTCTTTGTTTTCTTGTGACTATCGTCTTATGATAAGGTTTCATGTTTTTCGTCGAACATTTTCTTTATTTTATTTTCTAGCAAAAGAAATTTATCTTTTGTAGAGAATTGAGAAAATTTGAAGTCTTCCTTCTTAAAACTTCTATCAGTTTGTCTAAATTTTAATTTTTATTCTACACAGCTTTTCTTTGCAATATTTATAAAATGTACAAAATATGTTTTTTTTTCTTCTTCTCTTTTCTTCCGTTTTCCCCACTTTTTTATAAACATTTTGAGGAGCTAAGCTATTAATGTTTGAAATGCATTTTTTATGTTGTCTTTTTTTGAATTTCTTCAAACATTCTGGCTGTTTTCTTTCGACTAGCAATCATACTCTTGTGCTATAGTGCAAGTTCTTTCCTGGTCATTCACGTATCTTTCTTTAACAAAAGTTGATCTTTCTCCTTAAACCTGAATACGATTTAAAAAAAACAATCTGTCCCACATATTCTTTTCATTCATTGGCTATACCTGAGAGCCGTTCAATAAATCCCTGTTCTAATCAGTTGACTCCTGTGTAAACGGACGTATTCTACATAGCTATAGCAAAACATTTTGTGCTTCTTCCGTGACAGGAAAGAAAAATACCAAAGAAACTTGTTTCGTGGGGGATCAGGACCGATGTTCGTGGCTTTCGTGGGTAACCCGGACCCACGAATTTACATAAACACGGACATATACACATGCAAACAATTGTTTAATTATTCATTAAAAGTTAAATTACGAAATAATATTTGCTATCAAAGAAAGTACGTCCCCACGAACCAGGAAACCTTTAGCTACTCATAAACTTTGACCCCCACGAATAAAATGATTCCACAGTGGATGATAACCAATGCGACTAGTGTAGTAATTCTACGCCTGTGCCTGTGACAATCAAGCAGCCATTTGTAGCGAATATAAAGGGTAAGGGGAGTACCCAGTGCGAATATCGCAGATAGAAAATCTAAAATGTCTAGTACATTAACATGGACACTGCAATTCTTTCCATAGTATAGGGGGTTAACGATCTGTTATTTGCATCTCCTCCCATATCATTGAAATAAAATAAGGATACTTTCATAGATTCTTTATTACATAGTGCCATTGTGTACCTTCCATTTACCTTTTGATCTGACACTTATCTTGGATTTGCTAGAACAAAACATGAACTTTGCCATTATAATCACATGGGAGGCGAGGGTATTATTTTGTGAGCTCCGTGCTCACATTACCTCTAGTTTGATCTGAATAAAAATGGTCTGTATTATCCGAAAAACTAAATGGATGGTACAATCATTCATCTTTAACTACCAGGGGATTCCAGATTGTACTTTGGATAAAAGTAATTCATTTAAGATCTTCAATGGTTTCCTTGCATTATCTAATTATCCAATCCTTAATATTGCGCTAGCCCTCAAGGATTAAAGTGAATTCTCGTGGATATAAATAGGAGTAGTCATGATATTGATTTGATTGTTCTTTTTCCTATATACACATGTTTTTTTTTATGATTTTACGTTTTATTTTAATTAATTATACAATCCGACGATTAAATTCTATTGTTTTTCGTTGAAAAAATATATGTGTATACGAGGGATGATCAAAAGTTTAGTGGGCCTGTACCATACAGTTTAAACCTCCTTGGGTACATCGATGAATTTTACCACAAACAGTGAATCGGCATTCTTTTCTTTCTGTATAAGCCATAAATATAAGGTTTATCTTTAAAAATTATTGTTGGCGTTTTCGTTATCAATTGTATGTCCAGAGATTGCAACCTCAACATGACCTTTTTCTATAAGGGTGTAATTAAAATTTTGTTTTGATACAAACATTTGATATCCAAAAATCCCGTCACTTTGGGCAGATGGTAAGACACAATTGTTCCATAATTTTTTCCCCATTATGTTTGTTCTAGAAACTTTATCGTAAATTTTCAAGGTGTAGGATCCAAACAAAAAGGGGCTTCAAAACAATGTCAAGGTCGTCTCTTTTTCAAACATTCAATAGTTTTCACCCTGAAAAAAAAACTGGTTAAGACCAAGCATATATATTTTAAGGGGTTACAGAAAAATTAAATGCATCCAGAGTACTTGTTTTAATGCTAAAAAGATCTCCAAAGGAGATTAGTTTTGCATAGTTAATGTCGAGTTATAGTCAGAGTGTCAAAAGTCAGTCACGTTGAAAAGTGACGTTGATCATTTGTGGTAGATATTGTACTCCGACAAGCAAAGTATTCTGGCATATACATGTGGTAACCATTCCCTTCTGCATTATATGCATTGAAAGCAATTGTTAATGCCATTGTTTTACATCCTTTCCTAATTTCATCAAGATTTATGATGTATGTGTATGAGGTAGCGGATATTGGGGAATAACGACGTTGTCTGACGTCATGAAATTAATCAGCGAGAGCGCTGGGTGATCTTATAATGCCTTATTTATTTAACAACAATTTGGAAAATTGTCAAGAATTCTTAAATTTGTGTTGTTTTATGTTCCTTTTGAATTAAGGTGAGCACAGACTATATACATGAAGTTTTAATTTTATCGCTTCAGTCTACGAACTTTTTGATAACCCCTCGTACCTGGAAAAATTAATGAAAAAAACACGAAGCACAAAATAACAAATATAGAAGGGTAAATATTTAAACAAATACTCTAAAAATATTGTCTCAAAGACTAGAAAACAAAGAAAAAATAATCTATCAAAATAAATTGAATAGCTTTCTCAAAACAATATTGTCAATAAGAAACAAAGAGAAATTTCAAACAGGATAGATTGATTGATTGATTGATTGATTGATTGATTGTATATTGTTAAACGTCCCTGTCAAGATTTTTTCAATCATATGGAGAAGTTATCGTATGCCGGTGAAGGGCTTCAAATTTAGACCTATAATCGGCACTCAGGGCCATTGAGCAGCGAAGGTTCTTTTTCGTGCCAACACCTACCATGAATAGGGACCTACGTTTTAAAGATCATATCCGAAAGACCCGTGACTTTCACTTCTAGTGCCGAGCGCTTGGGTGACGGAACAGTCACTTATTTTGTTTACGTCTTAGGTATGACGCGGCGCCGCGAACCAGAATCGAACCCGGGCCTCCCGATCACGAAGCGAAAGCTCTACCACTAGGGTATACCGTGACCGGTTAAACAAGAAATATATAAAGTAAACAATGAAAATGAGTCTTGATCAACAATCCGCTTTGATATGTGTAACAAAATAAAAATCAATAAAAAAATAAATGTTTTTCAAAAAATATAAATTGAAGTTAGACATATGCATCACCTATTTTCAAAAATGTATTAATTTTTAATTTTAGAATATAAAACATGAACTATGCAGAGTACGTTTTTATCCGATAAAAAATTCGATGTTCTAAAAAAAGGGGCCTGTATCTTTGAAAAATGATAAGTAACTTTATATATTAAATATGAAACACACATATATTTTTACAAATTCACTTTATGGAAGTAAATATATTATGCATCTCGTAAAAAGAACATTCTGATTAACAATCTTCTTCAATGTTTAGAAAGCCTTTAATTCTGCATAACTACTCCCACCCCAATCCCCATACACCAACACTTAAACTTATATGTATAGAGCAGCCCGGTCCTCCGGGCTGCAATAAATGTTTTTCAAAATATGTCGAAAAAAGATAAAATCTCAGAAATGTATCTTATGAAATAAGGTATTTAATCGAAAAAACTACACCTCAAATCAATTTCTCTCCGTTTTTAGGAGACTATTGTTCCCTAAAAAAAAAAATTAAAAATTCCTTTTAAGGATATCAGATTCTCAGCCAGGAAGGATAACTCCATAAATTGATATTTAATTTAAAAAGCATCAATATGAGGCTTGAAATGAAAAGTTTTCATGCAACAATTTTCATTTTATTCGTCTATAAATGATTCAAGATTTATGGAAGTCTTAGAAAAGGTCTTATAAAAAGTTGATATTTGTACCCCAATAAAACGGAAAAAATACAGTTTTAGAGAAGTACGATTTTCTTGAATCATGCCTTAGATACCTATGCTTAGTAGCATGATATGAAATTAGAAGTCATTAGTGAAGTCTTGCAATTATAGCAGAAACCTCTTACACTACGTATTATATAATACATGAAGGAAATTAAAGAAATAGAATGCCAAATAGGTTTTAAAATCATGCCAATTCTCTGAATGCCTGAATGTCTTTTGTTTTTTGACCTAAAATATATCTGGGTATCAATGTTCAATCAGATAATGGATAGCTGACATTCTCATTCGCTTTTTCTGAATAAATATTGGATATTTGACAATTTTTCTTATATAATATAATTAACTTAAATGTCAACTTTCAAGAAATATTGTGGGTAAAATTTACATGTCTTTGTGTATTCAGAGATCAGCTTATGAGTATTATCTATTACTTAAGAGCTAATTTTATGAACCTGAGGATCGGATTACCTTAAGGATTAATATATCTTTTTTGTAGGACATGGTCCTTTTTCTCATATGTTCGATGATAAGTTCCTGCCCGCTGCTAGACCTGGTAATAAAATCAAGGTTTGTTCAGAAATAAATATATACTTGTTAACTGTCTCCCTCAAGGCATTAGACTATATTGAAATTTAAATCTTTATCTAATATTACACATTTCAAGCAGGATTACATTTGTTTAAAGAATTACTGTCTTATTTTTCGATTTCATGAAGTGATCAACCCATAAAATTATCACGCAAGCCAATCGATTGATCATCTTCCTGAAATTGAAAAATCTTACAGTTATTCCTTATATTTACATGCTTTGATTCCGCAAATCCACGTTCTCCAAGACCTGCTTCTGTCTAGTTGTTTGTCCCGCCCTGCACGTGGTTTTTTTGGAACCGCGCCAATACATTGATGGAGAAATAAAGTTCATTTACATTTGGTAATTTTATCTTGGACAAAGACATTGGAAATGTAAATATTTACCGATATTATACTTTCATGTAAATAAGTTAAAAAAAACATTTTTAAAAAAATACTATTACCCGTTGAATACTGAAGCCACACCGTCCAGAGTAGCAACAGTCAACATTGCTTGACGACGGGTGATATTCAAAAAAAATAGAAACTGAGCAGAATTTATGAGCGCACGGTTGGTTCACTGTTATATGTAAATGTTGCATGAAGTTGAGTGTAACATTGAAAATTTTCACCCCTAAAAAACCATTGTCAACCTTGGCTGCGCCTCGGTTGACAATGGTTTTCGAGGGGTGAAATTTTTCAATGTTACACTCAACTACATGCAATATTTATATAATGTTTCGTTGAAGCATGAACAATTGTCGGTGGAGATGTTTGACTTCCTTGTGGAGAGCAATAAATTGTCATCTACATTTGAAAAATATGGTTTAACGGAAGAGGACAGAGACTTTATCAAAGAACAGATTGCAGATCCTCTTCAGAAAAGTGGGGTACAGTTGAATTTGTCATTGAAGTGTAAAAGTTAAGATTTTCAATTCGAACCGTGACTATCAAATTTTGTTATTTATACATTCATATACAAATACAGCCATTAAATTATAAAACAGCAAATATACACAATTGTGCAAAGTATTTCTCTCAGCATGTTGCGTAATTAAAGTACATTTTATTGTAAACATACATGTATATCGGCAAAGTACAGTGTATAGTGAAAATTTATACCGATTAAAGAAGCTGTTTTTTATGCATGAAATAGTTCAAGATTTTTATCTTACCTGTTTTACAGTATGACATTTTCTGTAAAATAAGTTACTATGCATCCCTCCGTTATCCATAACAATCTTTTTTTAAAGAAAATATAGATTATAATTCCAAAAATACAAAAGCAATTGATTAAATGGAGATCTGCTTTGATCTGGTCATTTTTTTTCAATAAAATCATCTTTTTTCACAATGTATAACTGTTGTGCAAAATTTAATTTAAAATTGACTTGTCTTAATTTGTATTTAGAGATATCATGGAACACGTGCCTCCAAAAAGGGATTTCTGTATGAGGTAATAGTTTATTTTGAGTATGCTAAATAATAAACAGGATATTATACAACTACAGGGTGTTCCAGAATATATAATACCATGATTATGTATTTCATATTGAATGACAACTAATACGTATAATTGATACATATACTCTCCAATTTTATTTACACAATTTGACGTGCATTAAAAAATAGAAAATGAAATGAGGTAACATTTACAAGAGGCCCATGAGCCACATCGCTCACCGGAGTAACTTTGGCCCTGCAATTCTTTTCCAGATTGTTAAACCTATTGTTACCCCACTCTACCCTTACGTGACTTGATTTAAACAATTTAAATTAAACACTACCCCAGGATACTTCCACATGAGTTTCAGATTTTCTGGTCCAGTGGTTCTTGAGAGGATTTTTAAAGTTTTTTTTTCTATATATTTTAATGTAAAACTTGGATTCCCTATTGTTGCCCAGCCCTTCCTCTTGGTGTCTTAATTTGAAATAATTCAAATTTAAACTGCTCCAGGATGCTACATAAGTTTAAGCTTTTCTGGCCCAGTGGTTCTTGAGAAGTAGCTTTTAAAAGTTTTTTCTACATATTTTAATGTAAAACACGGATTCCCTATTGTGGCCAGCCCTTTCCCTGGGGGTCATAATTTGAACAATTTAGAATTTAAACTACCCTAGCATGCTACCATATAATTTTCAGCTTTTATGGTGCAGTGCTTCTTGAAAAAGAGATTTCTAAGGTTTTCTATATATTTCAATGTAAAACTTTGATTCCCTATTGTGGTCCCGTCCTACAGCCGAAATCATATGTTATGAAAAAATTAGAATTTACACTACCTAGAGTGCTTACACATAGGCCTCAGATTTCTGGCCCGATTGTTCTTGAGAAGGAGATTTTTAATAACCCACCCTATTTTTGTCTTTCTTGGTTATTTTGCCTTGGAAGGGGACATCGATCTTTATTTAAACAATTTAACCTCCACTTCACCCAATGCTTTGTACCAAGTTTGGTTAAATTTGACCCGGTTCTTCAGAAGAAGATGAAAATGTGAAATGGTCAAAGACGGACGGACAGAAGGACAGACGACGGACAATCAGAAAGTGATCAGAAAAGCTCACTTGAGCTTTCTTTGCTTTGGTAAGAGGAAAGTTTTAACTGTTTACAAGTCACAGGTTGCTGACAAGACGCATTCAAATGGATTCAGCTAAGAATTAATAACAGGTACATGCAGTACCATCATGAAAAGGAAGCAACAAACACGAACATTTGATATCCTGTATTTAGACAAAATGTGCAGTAAATATTATCTTTAAAATCAAATTCCTTGGAAACATATATTGATTACTCTGTAAAAATTTAAAGATTCAATAATTAATTTTATAATATAAGGTTTTATTACTTATATTGGTGAATAATGGTACTTTTTGGCTGTTTATATGCACGAGCGTGGGAGTGCATGTTTACAACCAACAAGTGCCACCATGTGATGAAGGAACATTGCTGCATAAGTAATGGGGGTTGATGATATAAAAGTTAATGATCACGTTTATCATAAAGCTTGGTCTTTTTCAAGTATAATATTCCAGTATGAAACAGATATGTAAGACTGTGGAATCTTTTATTTCAAGCTCACCGGGATATAATATATTGACATAAAAATAGAAATAACCATTGTTAATTGAAAATACTTCGTTGATATATCCAAATATCGAGTTGAAGGCCACAACAAGTTTTTTTTTCTTTTCGCGTATAAGATTTTGGACAGGTTCTGATTCATATGAATACAAAATCTATCAGTCTGTTAAAGACAATAGGAAAAGATGACATGAAAAATTCATTGAAATTTCAACGAGCACTCGACTATCGTTCGACTATAGCCTCCCACGATTTGACTAAGCTGTCCAAATAGAAATAAAATCCCTAATACAAAAATATATCTAAAACGGGGCCTTTTTCAAGAATTTGTTGTACGTAGTGTAATCTGTTGCGCTTCAGTCGTAAGCTTGTAAGCATGTTCTTCACTGGATCGTCGGATTTAATTTAGTCAATTTTGGCATAAAGTATATAAAGTACATATATTGTTATTTCAATTGTCTCTTCCTTCTTTTTAAGTCACAATAATTTTTTCTGCCTTCTTAGAGAACAAGGGGTTAGTCAAAACAATTTTAAACTTATTCAACTTAAAATTCAACCCAACTTAAAAATCAAATACCTTGGTCCAGGACATCTAGCAGTAAAATTCTGTTGATCATATATTTAAATAGCATTTGACATAATGATATATTGTATTTGCTGACAAGAACATTGTCTTGATTATAGAACTTGTAAAATTATGAATTTAAACGAGATTGTTCAAATCAGTTGCCTGATTTTAGAAATTGTTTGTAAATGGAACATGTTTTACGTATCGGATAAACAGGAAGACTAAGATTTACTTTGATTGTTAAAAGGGTATACATGGTCTTTTAAAACTCTTACACCTAAATGCAGCTGTATATTGCATGTAAGCAAATGTGCTATAATTATTTTATTTAGTCAGAAACCAAAAAAAAAATCCTACCTTCAGGACTTATTCAATATCCAATTTTCAACAAATATATTTTTAAGTCATGGGTCATTACAGTTTCATGAATCTCCGTTCAATAATGAGGAAATCCATTTTAGCCGGTCTTTGCTTAAAGTCAAGTCCTGGTTATAGACCATAGGCATCATGATCGACTGTCTTTCTATAAATACCACAGCAAAAAAAAGATCAGAGCAGACGCTTCCGATAAATAAAATAGTCCCATTGTTTTTAACATCGGAATCGTTGGAAAAGTTAACGATCAATATTTTCCCTTGAGAATTAAACTGAAGGAGAAATTATATATTTGCTTTATTGGGATAATCTTTATACGACAATTTGTGCACATACGCTGCTGAATACATATTGTAAGCAAACTATTTGCAATAGCGCAGGCGTTTTCGAAATATTGAAATTGTTAAAGAATTTCGTGTTTCATATCGTTTTCGTCGATGTTATGTTATTGGTAAAATTCTGTTCTGATTTTCAGCATAGTATAATGAATTGGAATTTTAAGAATTCAGATGTGTGAAGTCGCTTGACAATATATATGTATCAGTGTTTCTACATGTATTTGGCAATAAAGGTATTATTTGTTTGAAACTTGTACATTATTAAACTGAATTTTTAAAATATGAGAAAAATGCTTTTGGATAGAGAATATGCGATAATTTCTTTGAAATTTCATTTATCAATCAAAATTTTAAAATCATAACATATCTTCGGGTCTGGACTGTTAATTTAAATTACTGGAATTTTGGATATTGTTTTAGATCATGATCATACAACCTCTACAAGTTAAAATTCAATGGCCAAAAGGAAAGACAATTAAATGTGTACTAATTTCGGATCATACAATATACTTGAACAATTGAAGCCCAGCTTTTAATTCGTTCAATACTTTGATTTTAACTGGTTGCATACATAATACATGTTTTCTTCTGTTCTCCATAGTTGTATATTTCCAATAATAATTATATGTCAAAACGAAATTGAATGGGAAACAAATGCTCATGGTGAGAAAGAGAATCATAACGGTAATTATTGTGCCATACAGATTGAAGAGGGATATGGGAAAAAGTTATCATTGTTTTTCATATTAGTCATTGTTATTTGACTAATGTAATTCTTAACAATTCTTACAATATTAACTTCACACCTTATGCATATCTAATGCTCACTCAAGCGCTGCTGAGTCTACATTCTCTTCTTTTGTCTTCTTCTTTTTTTTCTCTACTTCTTACAAGCAGACAAAAACATTAAATCATTATTTTACAGTCTACAATAAGTTTTACATGAAAATCTTCTATTTTGAATTATATCAATAATATTCTTAAGGTAAAATTCAGACAAAGTTTGCTTTTACGTGTCTTAATATAGATGCATAAGATTTATCTTATAGCGTCCGATTTCTATCTTTAATACAATGAATATTTTACGTTATAGTTGAGAGAAGAAGGGAAAAAAATTATCATTATCTATAAATCAAACTGGACATAATTAAATTTAGGGAATTAAGGATTTTATAGATTCTGCAAAAAACTGTAATATCATCAATAATGAATGTGACAATGTTCTTTGGGTCCAAATAGAAGGTAAAGCATTTGGAATCGATGAGCATATTTTACTAGGTACATTCTATATACCACCTGTAAACTCTAGATTTTCATATGGTGAAATATTTGAAGATATTGAGAATGAAATTTTTACACTATCCACAGAGCATAAGTGTATCTGTTTACTTGGTGACTTTAACAGTAGAGTCTCTACTTTGAAATAATTCAATGATTGTGATGAACCTTTTGTGCAAACAAATGACTATATGTCTGATATTGATTTTAATTGGGCTGTTGATCAAATTGATATGAGATGTCTTGAAAAACAAGGCTTTTCATTGGAAAGAAATTCAAATTGTAAACCAGTACGGGAAAAACTTATTGATGTATGCAAACATAGTAATATTTTGTTCTCAATGGTAGATCAAATGTGTCCGAAATGGTGAATATACTTGTAAACAAACTACTGTTGTAGACATTATATGGTCTCCCGCTCACATAAATGTCGGTGTTTTAATTTACCACTACTAATTTATTTGATTTCAAATTGAAAAGTGTATTAAATTATACGATACCTTAATAATATTAATAATAATTATAATAAATCGTTTCTAACAAACACTATCTTACTTTCAGGGGAAAAAATTAATATTACCCAAATCACAAATATGATTGGCGGGATATTTAGCAAATTTAGTGAAAAGACCTTTGAAATTTTTCATTTTAAAACGTATATACGCCTGATGAAGCTTTTGTTGTTAAGCGTTTTTTTGTTTTTTTTTTTTGATTGTGTATTGTTCCTCTATTTCACTGAAGATTGTGTCGAACAAGAGAAATGAGATCGATGTTGATAAATGGGATTACTTTGCTCGGGATTGTCACATGCTAGGATTCAGAAACAACTTTGACCACATCAGATGTATGAAATGTGCTAGCGGGTGAAACACAATATAGGGCGCATTAAGAATACCACATTGTTATACACAATTTTTAGAAATGTTAACTTCTTTACATGTAATTTATCATAATTCATTTATAGGCATACTTATAAAGGACTTGTGTGCAAAATTTTGTTGATCTAACTTTAACAGAATTTAAGTAAATGCAATAAATGTACCCCCAAAATGACCCTTTTTTAGCGTTATGCGGTTGCGCTTTGAAATTACACCATTTTTCAATTGAAATTATTGTTATATATCATAAGTTTTCATGCCAATGATCATTATCAGACTTTAGAATTTATTTTGCAAATTATTTTGGTGCTTGAATTTTCAGGATTGAATGACAACTTTTGAAGATATGAAAGAAAATGTAATAGGGGTGAAATGTTATACATTTTTGACATAATTTCACCCCTCTCATTATGCCAAATAAAAATAATGTCCATATCATTTATTTTCTCTGATTTCTGTCTAAAATCACAGTATCAATGCTCTGTTACTTACAGAAAAAAGTTGGGTTAATGTAACAATTGAAATGAAATTTCATCATGTTTTAATGTGGAAAATTAAGGTTTTACAAAAAACTGTAGTGTCCGTAACCACTTTCATTCTGTGAAATTGGAAAGCTCTATAAATATCTTTACTAATTTTCTAGATAGGCATCTCATATAGATGCTGAGATGTTTTGTAATTTTCCTGATCATCAGCACTGTTTGTCTGTTTTCATTACAAATGTGGTTACGGACACTACAAAACCCTGTAGTGTCCGTAACCTGAATTTGAGGCAGTTTGAAACAGGCAGTGTAAAAACACTAATGCAAATTTGTTCACAAGGGTCAGAAGTTTGTTTAACAAGTTAGTCAATGTACTTTATTTTTCTCCCTCATTTTGATATTGCAACTAATTTGGGAAACCCAGATTGCACCATTTTCATATACAAGATCCTTGGTGTTACATCACCTTAATATTGGCAGATGCTATTGACATCCAAGGATTTAAGTCAAATAGCATGTCATTAGGCTTTTCATTGTTTAAGTCAACTGGTGTTACATTTAAGAAAATCTTGTTGAAATTCCTTTATTTAAGGTATAGTTTTATCCTATTGTAAATGACTTGTAGAGTGTGTAGTGTCCGTAACCAAAAGTTGCAAAATAAAATATCTTTATTTTTTCTCCATAGAATTTACAGATAAATTTTTGAAACAGTGTATTATTGAATGTAGAGATAAAAAGGTGTTTATTAGTTGGAATTCTTTTAGATCATGTGGTTTTTTTCTTTACTGCAAGTACTAAAATAATGATTGGACACCCACAATGACATATAAAAATAGTTAGAAATTATTATCACTAGCTACATAACCCATATTTTTTGTGAATATTGCTTCAATTGTTTAGTTGCTTATTAGGTAAAATCTTAAAATGTGTTAAATGCAAGTTTTGCATTCAAAATGTTAAACATTTGGGAAGTAATTTGGTTACGGACACTACAAACAATTTCAAAAAAGAAAACAGCTAAAATTACACCAATTTCATATAAAGTATTGTATATTTAACTGTTTGAAGAAGAATAGAATGCTTCACAGAAAAGAAAAAATAATTGAAGAAATATTAGTGAGCTTTATTCTTCAAGGTTTGACTTTTCTACTTACGCATAACACCTGTCTAAAGATACATGACATTGTGTATATATTTATTCAAAGTATATTGGTTATGGTATCCTTGTAACAGATGAAGTTGAGATCTGAAGAATAAAAAAAATCAGGAGAAACTGACACGAGAAATAAAATGCTGAAAAAAGATAGGAAAAGGGCTTAAAAACAAAAACTTCACCCACAAACGTGAAAAATTAAAGTATTGTGTAGTGTCCGTAACCCTTAAATTTGGTTAATTGACATCATTGATCATTGTACCTACATTCTAAATAGTTTTCATAAAACTTTAATGAATAATAAAACTTTTCTTTTGCACTTCAGTGATAAATACATGTAGTTATGTGAAAAATGGAAGTTTTAGGATTTCCTAAAGTGGATTTTTTTCTATTGGTATTAGTTCTGCAAGTAAATTGTTTTTACTTGAAACAATATCTAATTTGTATATACTTTGTATTTAATAATCATTTAAATCTGATTTATAATAGTTCAGAAGTTCATAAAATGTTTTTTTTACCACAAACCAAATGCCAATCATAAATATTTGGGTTTTGTAGTGTCCGTAACTTAATGGAGCTATCAAATAATTTTAGAAAATTTATAAAAATGAAATGTCCTATTTTAATGGAAGTATTTATATCTCACCAAACGCATAAAAAGTGTTATTTATAAATAGTTTTTTCTTTATTTATATTGGTTTTAAAGAGTTCACATGAAATGAAATACTACCATTTTGAACAAAAATGTACGAAGTAAGAACTGTTTAAATTTTTAAGTACAATGTCATCTTTTTAGTCAAAATTTTGTCCTTATTTTGTATTTATATATGTTCTTTGTTTGTAAGCAGTTGAAAAAATTAGAGCTTATAAACAGTTTTTGATATTTATTTCAAAGAAAACAACACTTGTAGTGTCCGTAACCTGTGAAAATGAGGTTATTATCAGCTTGTAAAAAACAAAGTTCTAATGTGAATTTCACAAAACCGTTTACGCTTGAAATCCTTAAGATACTCTACTTTTTAGAAAAAATGTTTTTGGGGCAAAACGAAGACATTAATTTTTTACCCCCAAGTGCAACCTTACTGTCCCCTATATTGTGTTTCACCCGTAGGGTTTTGTCCGTGGATGGTGAACTTCAAATATGTTTCCGAGATAAGGTATTTGTACGCTGCAAAGGACAGAATTTTCTAACAATTGTTTTAACTAGAATTCCTTATTCAAGAATTCAGGTGCTTTTTGTTTCATTTTATGTTTTAGGTCACCTGAGTTAACTCAGGTGACCTATTGCTATCTGTTTTCGTTCGTCGTCGTGCGTCGTGCGTTGTGCGTCGTGCGTTAACATTTGAACAATTTCAGCTTCTTCTCTGCAACCACTGAAGCAATTTCAACCAAATTTGGCCTAAAGCATCTATGAGTAAAGGGGAACAAAAATTGTGAATTTCATGATCCCTGCCCCCCTGGGGCCTGAGGGGTGGGGCCAAAACCACTAAAATTAATGCAATCTTTAAAAATCTTCTTCTTTACTCCTGGACATCAAGCGGTCAAACTGTTTGCATAATTGTAATCAACAATGAGTCCTCTAACAAAATTCTGAAATTCATGGCCCTGGGGTCAGGGGTTCTAGTGCTAGGGCGGGGCTAAATAAGTAGGTAGTGAACATGCATAATTTCTTTGAAAATCTTTTTCTCTGCTCCTGGGTATTAAATAAACCAACTAAGCATATAGTTATGATGAGCAAGAGTGCCACTACCAAAATTGTGAATTTAATGGCCCCAGGGTTAGGGGTTCTGGTGTTAGGGCGGGGCTCTATTGATTATATAGTGAAAATACATGAATTCTTTGAAAATTTTCTCTGCTCCTGGGTATTAAATAAACTAGCTAAGTGCATAGTTATGATGAGCAAGAGTGCGTTTACCAAAATTGTGAATTTTATGCCCCCAGGGTTAGGGGTTCTGGTGTTAGGGCGGGGCTCTATTGATTATATAGTGAAAATACATGAATTCTTTGAAAATCTTCTTCTCTGCTCCTGTGTATTAAATAAACTAACTAAGTGCATAGTTCTGATGAGCAAGAGTGCCTTTACCAAAATTGTAAATTTTATGGCCCCAGGGTCAGGGGTTCTAGTGTTAGGGCGGGCTCTATTGATTATATAGTGAAAATACATTAAATCATTGAAAATTTTCTTCTCTGCTCCAGGGTATTAAGCAGATGAACTACCTATATAGTTATGCTGGACAAGGGCCCATACCCTAACAAAAAAATACTATAGTTAACTATAGTTAACTATAGTTTACTATAGTTAACTATAGTGATAACTTTGACACTTTGAAAACTTTGATTTACTATAGTGATAACTTTGACACTTTGAAAAACTTTGACGAAAACTTTGACACTTTGAAAAACTTTGACGAAAACTTTGACACTTTGAAAAACTTTGGCGAAAACTTTGACACTTTGAAAAACTTTGGCGAAAACTTTGACACTTTGAAAAACTTTGGCGAAAACTTTGACACTTTGAAAAACTTTGGCGAAAACTTTGACACTTTGAAAAACTTTGGCGAAAACTTTGACACTTTGAAAAACTTTGACGAAAACTTTGATACTTTGAAAAACTTTGGCGAAAACTTTGACACTTTGAAAAACTTTGGTGAAAACTTTGACACTTTGAAAAACTTTGGCGAAAACTTTGACACTTTGAAAAACTTTGATGAAAACTTTGATACTTCGAAAAACTTTGGCTCAAACTTTGACACTTTGAAAAACTTAATCGAAAACTTGGATATTTCGAAAAACTTAGTCGAAAACTTGGATACTTCGAAAAACTTTATCGAAAACTTGGATACTTCAAAAAACTTAATCGAAAACTTGGATACTTCGAAAAACTTTATCGAAAACTCGGATGCTTTAAAACTTTGAAAAAGTTTATTGAAAACTTTGACACTTTAAAAAACTTTATCAAAAACTTTTATTCTTCGAGAAACTTTATCGAAAACTTTGACACTTTGATGAAAAACATTATCGAAGCCTCTGATACTTTGTAAAACCTAATTGAAAACTTGGATACATTGAAAAACTTTATCAAAAAATTTAACACTTTGAAAAACTTAATCGAAAACTTGGATACTTTAACACTTCGAAAAAATTTATAAAAAAACTTTGACACTTTAAAAACTTTATCGAAAACTTTGAAAAACTTTATGGAAAACTTTGAAAATTTAAAAACCTTTATCGAAAACTTGGATACTATAACACATAGAAAAACTCAATCGCCAACTTTGACACTTTAAAAAACTTTAACGCCAACTTTGAAAATTTAAAAAAGTTTATCGAAAACTTGGGATGCTTTGAAAAACTTTATCGAAAAGTTTGATACTTTGAAAAACTTAATCGAAAATTCTGATACTTTGAAGAACTTTGGCGAAAACTTTGACATTTTGAAAAACTTTGGCGAAAACTTTGACACTTTGAAAAACTTTGGCGAAAACTTTGACACTTTGAAAAACTTTGACGAAAACTTTGACACTTTGAAAAACTTTGGCGAAAACTTTGACACTTTGAAAAACTTTGACGAAAAGTTTGACACTTTGAAAAACTTTGACGAAAACTTTGACACTTTGAAAAACTTTGGCGAAAACTTTGACACTTTGAAAAACTTTGGCGAAAACTTTGACACTTTGAAAAACTTTGACGAAAACTTTGACACTTTGAAAAACTTTGACGAAAACTTTGACACTTTGATTTACTATAGTTAACTATAGTAAACTATAGTTAACTATAGTTAACTATAGTTAACTATAGTTAACTATAGTATTTTTTTGTTAGGGATATCTTCCAGAATTGTGAATTTCAAGGCCCCAGGGTCAGGTTACCATAGAAAGGGGGGTGTACTTATATACTGAAAATGAATGAATGGTTTGAAATCTGCTCCTTGGTATTAATCAAATATCAAGGCCTAAGGGTCAGGGGTTCATGTGTTGTAGGGGCACTACTGATTATTGCTGAATATTACTGATTAGTTGAAATGCATTTTTTGTTCCCTTACCCTGCATATGGGTATTAAGTAAACAAACTAAGCAACTGCTAAGTGTATTGTTATGATGATCAATGGTGCCTCTTTCAAAGTTGTGAATGCCATTGCATCTGGATAAAAACAACAATCAAATTCAATCACTGGAAAGTTGTTGCATAATGCTCAGGTGACCTATAAGGCCCATGGGCCTCTTGTTAATTATATATTTGGATTAACGGTTACATGTATAACATATTTATTATGTGATACTCGCACTGAACATGAGGTACTTTTCTCACTCACCATCATCATCAATAACATCAGCTAACGAAACGAATAATTGTAAGTGACACCGAATGATAAGAATGATTTTAGGATTAAAGAGACGCCGATTGATGAGAATTATCTTTCTAAACTTTCTAAAAATTACATATGCAGCACAGTTAAGGTAGGATTCTTCTTACATTTCTTGTATGTAAAAATTAATGAATTTTCACAGAATCAAAAGGACAATATCACTAAGTTATGGCATCAGTGAGATTAAATTTGACCGTTTTATATTAGAGGCAAGGCAAGGGGTAAGTCACATGACATGGACGACACTGGACGTGTTTTTGTCGCTCCGTGTTTTTTTGACTATTTCTTCCGGATTTAAGATTCTGATTGTGGAATTTCTCAAAGAAATTCCTTAAAGAAAACAGATCACTGACTTTGATCTTCTTGATCCAAATAAAAAAGTAATCGGTGATGATCTACTTTGCGTGCAACTCGACCGCAATCTGTGGAGAATTTATCTCAAAAGTACAGAATGCCGACATAAGCTCCTAACCCAGGGTATTGACATCAATAGTGTAGCATACCAATTCTATGATACTAACCCATACACCTCTGGTGCTACATCTGTATCTCAAAAAACCCTTAAACTTAGGATATGTGGTCTCCCCCTCTCTGTGGCGGATTCCGCGGTACAGGAATTACTTAACAAACTCAATGTCAAATTAACAAGTAAAATTCTGTACGAAAGGATCCGCCATCCTGAGACAAACCGGATGACAAGTATCCTAAATGGAACAAGGTTCATGTATATTGAACCTCTCCCAGACGGAAAATATCTTCCGAGAATTAACTACTGCGGTGGTATACAGTGTAAGATTTTTCACCATGGTCAACCCAAAAAGGACATTCACCTTTTATGTACAAACTGCTGGAAAACCGACCACACCCGTTCTAACTGTTCCTTCGATACCTGTTGTAAGGTATGCAAACAACCGGGTCATTCCCCCGGGAATGAAGCATGCCCTCATTACCAGCCACAAAAGAATTTAACCCCTTTCTGCGGTGCAGAGGATGTTCTATCCAATTTTTACCCATGCGTTTTGGATATCTTTGGAATGAAACACAAGTCGGCTGAGCATGCCTTTCAGTATATTAAGGCAGTAAGATGCGGTGACCCAGATTCTGCCAATATCATCAAAGAAGCCGATGATGCCCTTGGCGCTCTACGCTTAGGCAAAAAAATAAAATCTAACGAACAGTGGGATTCTACCAAAGAGGCTGTGATGGAGGAGATCTTGGAAAACAAATGTGTCCAGGTCCCTGTTTTCCGCGATAAGTTGTGTACTTCAAAGCAATCGACAGTATTCGTTGAAGCAACATATAACAACGAATGGGGCTCAGGGCTTGATCGGGACGGTACATGCAACACCAAACCCGAAATGTGGCCAGGAAAAAATATTCTTGGTGTGCTGATGAAAAAAATCGCAAGAAAAGTTCGAAAACGAAAGCTAAGTGATTCAGCAAAAAACGAAAGAAAACAAAAACAAAAAGAACAATCGAAACAAAAAACAATACCGCAAATGCTTAATCAGCTGAGAGAAATGTCCGACAGTGATGAACCTAGCACGGAGAGTTGTGATGATGATACGTGTAAGTAACTGTATTATCTCCGGTCAGACTGATGCAGCATTTCATGAACTTCGGTATGTGCTCAGTTATATCTATTTACAGACATTTCTGGCATACTTTAAAAATACTATAATTAATGAATTGATATGTGCTATTTTTACTTGTCAAGTGATAAGACATAATTTATCCCCCCTTCCTTTGTTTTATAACATTATTACACATTTATATCCACCAGACAAATGA